TGATATTGAGCAAAATTTCACTCGGCTATTCGGAATGGGTCAATCAAATCCGTGAACTCTCCAAACAAATTCCCTCAAAACTCTCTCAAAGCAAAGCTCTCAAAACTCTCTCAAACTCTCTCAAAGCAAAAAAACCTTTCCAAACAATTCCAAACATCCTCAGTAACCAACAAATGCCAGCGCGGTTCAATTAAAGTCATGTTCCACGTTCCATCATGAATATGCCTGAGGTGAGCTCCATGTTTTCCAGCAACTGCTCAAAAAAAGATTCGTTGCTTGGCCCTTAAGTGGGACAATCTGACGAATAGCATGCCTTTTTAAAAGGCATGGAGGCATCTGATGACATTTGGAAGTCGCCAGGAGCATTCCAGAGGTTGCATGCCAGTGGCAATTTGTCCAAGTCTCTTGCAAATCCAACCTTGGTCGTCCTAAATCACACCCTGCAATGCTCCAGGTGAATCCCTAGCCGATATTTGACCATGGTTTTCGTGGTCGCAGTCAGTGGCCGAGATGCCTGCACGCTTTGCTTTACGATAGTCTTGATCTTTCCCATGAGATCCTCTTGCAGCATACAAGAAGTGATTGCCGGATTGACCTCCGATGACCGCTGTGCTAAGTGGAACAGGTCGTGCCACTTTTTGGTCATATTGAAAAAGCCTTCCCAGGCGAGCTGCAGCTCTTTGTACAGCGGGATGAACTCTGACATGCATTTCGTCAGTCTTTGGGAGGCCTAGGGATCGAATCATGTTTCTACAGCCAAAAATGCTCCATAACTCTCTTACAAATTCAACTTTGAATTCCAAGGAAAAAACTCTAGAACCTCGTCCAAGACACGTCAGCTGGCAGCACCGATGCCATTGCATAATTGCGGATGATTCGATCGAAATCTACAGATCTTTGCATGACCATTTTTAGGAGTCGATCCTGGCGACTGCCGCTCATGCGGTCAACCCACAGATTCAACAAAGGCTCGGTCAAACCTCTGCATTGGTAAGCTCGTCCCTTGAGGACTGGGAAAGTTTTGTCTGTGCTCTGGAATTTCTGTGTTGTCAAAGTGGCCACAAATGTCGACAGCTCGGAGGGCACATACCTGGGCAGAACATTGAACAATATATCTATATACCGTTTTCATTGAACCATATTAAGACTCAAATACCATCAAACAAACTGCAAAATGGAATGTTGGATACTCTTGCAACGCAGGCAGTAACACGTCCAACTTGTTGTCGAACTTGTGCTCCAGGAGAACGGCCAAACACCCGCCGTTCAAATATGTGTCGACGCCACACCACTTGGTGTGCATCAAATCCGGGGACACATGTTGGCCAGTCAGCCCGGTGACTGTGAACAAATCCACAAATCTCCTCGATGTCTCAAACCTCTCTAACCATTCATCCTTGCTCATCAGCTTGGGTACCTGAGTGGGAGATATGTCAAAGATTTCTTCCTTTGGACTGGAGCAGAGTTGGCAAGGCAGATTGGCATTGTGGCCCGGAAGGCCCAACCACTGTGGATGCCAGGCTAGGTCGGCTTGGACTAACCAGATCGTGGCAAACCAGCCTCCTGCCAATGGCGTTCCAGCAAAAGGCGTCCTCACCGGATTGCCCTTCCAGTCCAAGAGTGGCCAGGTGCCTCCAAATATCTAGGATGTGGCCCAACGTCCACCACAATTGTGCCCCAAACACTTTGCTGAGAGTCTCAAACTATCAAAACTCTTAAAGCCCTCACACTGACAACAGAAGTCTCTGAAAAAGTTTCAAGTCCGCGCAGGCTCAAACACTAACTCTCCAAGCTCTCAAAACTTCCCTCTCAAACTCTCAAAACTCTTGAAAACTCTCACTGTAACTCTCCAAGCTCTCAAAACGTCCCTCTCAAACTCTCAAAGCCCTCACACTGACAAAAGGAGTTCCTCAAACTTTCAAAAATGTCAGCAGTCTCAACCCGGTCAATATTATATCTGTTCTGCCAATATTGCCTTGCCACAAGCTTTCCAGAGACCAGGCAAGCGCTTTCCAATACTCTTTGACGGTTTGCTGCTTTGCCACCATATGGCTCCATATCAAGCTGACAACGAAGTTCTCAAACTTGCTGTCAACAGCCTCCAGTTTCACAACTGTCACACAATTAGATTAGTTAGAAAGACAAAAACACTAAAAAGTTGCGTGTTTCACTGCAAGGCGCGTTTGTGCAAAGCAAGGACCGCCACGAAACAATTTCCACGGATCTGCTGTGGGCACTGCCCACGTTCACACATGGCACGCCATCACCGTGAAGGGACAACGGTATACCTTAACAACAACGCACAAACAATTGACAACGAGCGCAGCTACTAGCACTGACAATTGACAACAACGCGCTAAAAACCTCACATATACGCAAGGGAGCCACACTTGCTTCTGTCGCGCGGGTCAGTGCTCAAAGGGTGCGCGCGGAAAAGTTCTGTCGAACCCATTGTGTTCCAGAATGCAGCAGCCGCATCCGGATTTATGTAGCTGGCCCATGCGTCTCTATAACGCGTGTATAGTGCTGCGAACATCTCGTGAGGCCAAAGAATCGAAACATCAGATTGCTTGACCTTCTTCACGCCAAACTGGAGAGGGAGTTCTACTTGCCGCAGAGGGAATTGCGGCTCGCCGACCCACCTCTGCAGGTCCCGCCAGGTGTTCGCCGGATTGCTACCGGATGTACCTAGCCTCGCAAATTTCTGTATCGCGGGGTGGGCGTCTGGAACGTCTTTGGTAACCATATAGGCTATCTTCTGGCCTTGCGACGCACTTAAGTGTCCCCAAGCTATTTGTTCCAGTAACCATTGCGCCAAGTGGCTTGGCGCCTCCGCAGCAGCCTTCCGTTTACCCATGACTATAGGTAGAAGAGTTGTTGAACAAAAACCTTTTCAAATCGAGTACAGCCCCATGACTCAATGACCATGTGAAATTCAGATTGAGTGGTACTGTACTGTAGTTGTGGCAGCCTTTGGCCTCTGTGATTTTGCCAGACATGACCTCCTAGGAGGGTGATTTTCAAACGCTGATGTTCAAAACCCACAGGCTTGAACCAGTCTGCAAACCAAAGCAAACTACTGAGCGTCTTGCGCTCAACGAACGCAACGCCACAACCTTCAATAAACACATCAACCACATTCGTCAGCGCGCAACTCAACTGTATTTCCTCCGACATAAACCTTGGTAGGCGGTATGTGCGTTGTCCTGAGCCCAATCTATTTCACCGAACGTTGCTTTAGCCAACCATTACACTCTACTGTATACAAAACAAGTATACGATCTTATGCATCTTTCAATACAAACTTAGGGGCTCAAGAACGTCCGACGGCTTTTCCGACGTTGCAGCATTCATGCAGATCTTTCAACTGCACGAACAGCTTCTGGAGCATTTGCTTCGCATTTGGCGGTGTCAGGGGCATGTTGCCTGGACCGCGCTTCGTCACCTTTATCTGCGTCATAACACTCACGGATTCAGTGACTGCTCCATAGGCCATGTTCAACTTTTGGAGCATATCATTCGCCAGCTTGCTGCCAGGCGCCCTACCGCTCAATGTCTGAATCACAGCGGCCGCTTCGGCCAAGCTACCCTGGGCCACAGTCAACGCCTGTCAAATATGGACTACTCTCAGAATATGCAAATTGTCACAGAGTTGAGCTGCTCAAAATGGTCGAAGAACTATACGTAGCGGAAACTCTCAGCAATGAGAACTCTCAGCTAACCATCAAAACACAAAATCCTCAAAACTCTCAAGAAAACTCTCAGCAACAAGAACTCTCAGCTATAACCATAAAAACCTAAAACTCTCAGAACTCTCGGAAAACAATCAAATATAATATAACTCTCAAAACTTTTACTTAAAAAAGTCTCACCTGACTCACCAGCTGCAAGCCTGACAAATATACAATTTGCGCAAGCCGGCCTCGTCGAGTTTCTGCCAATATTGCGGCGGCAATTCCAGCGCTACATCCGTTGACATAGCACCACTTCCAGCACCACCCATCATTCCAGCACCACCCATCATTCCAGAACCACCCATCATTCCAGAACCACCCATCAGTCCAGAACCACCCATCATTCCAGCACCACATCCAGCACCACCGAAACTCATTCCTCCAGGATTCATTGGAGGCAGCATCAGTTGACCGGGATTCGAAGGCTGGGAGAAAGAAGGCGTCTCGGGTGCGAAGACAGCGAAATCCAAAGCTCCCCAAAGCTGATCCATCACCAGCCCATCGCAAACATCACTTGTGTGCAGGGACGTCATTGTCTCTAGCTGTCCACCTTTCGAGGAACTCTCCTCTTCCCATCGGTAGAGAGTTTTGCCGGAGTGGCCTTTGACAGGAACAATCTCGCCAGCAGCAATTGCTTGCTTTAGGCCAGCTTCCCCACCAGCCTTCTGAACCGCAATGAATCTTGGTACACTGCGGTGTCCTGCACTGAACCTTTCTGTGTCAATCTTCTTCCTGTCTTTGCTGACTGAACCTTCGTCTGAAAGGGTGAAGGTCCACTTACCATTACACTTCTTCATCCTCTTCATGAGCCATTCAGTCGCCTCCTGCCTTGCCATCACCGCATAAATAGTTTTAGTGTCACGCAACGCAGTGAACAGCATCGGCGGGACAGCAGCATGCAAATTCACAAGCTCTCAGAAATGCTAAACCAACAATATGAAAAATAACTTTAAGAATTAACTAGTTAACTCTGCAAAAACATCTCGCCAAACTCTCCAAACTCTCAAGACTCCCCTCTCAAACTGTCAAAACTCTCAAATACGCATTGAAACATTCTGGACACTACAGCCGTGCGTGGTTTGCGGCCTGCTTGAGCTTTCAATCTTGTTCCATTCATTCTGTGCTGCCACCGGCAGGGAAGGAAACAATCGGCGAAAGGCCATCGCTGCAGCTTTGTTCCTGCCCTTTTCCAGCCTGTCCTCATCATCGCTCTTGGAGCTGTCGCTTGCCTACAAAGTCAGGAGTCCAGCTGCCATGACAAATGAATCAACGCAGGCTAACAAAGGCCTCGCCATCACTCTTTGACTTGTCAGACTCGGACTTGGACCCTTTCTTCTTTTCCTTCCTGCTCTTGTTTTTCTTCTTCTTCTCATCCTCTTCCTCGTCACTCTCAACTTTGAAGCTCTTGAGCCACTCCCCTCTGTTGATCTTCTTTTTCTTATCCTTCTTATCATCATCCTTGTCTTTAGTTTCCTTCTTGCTCTTCTCTTCCTTATTGCTCTTCTCGTCCTTCTTGCTCTTCTCATCCTTCTTGCTCTTCTCCTCCTTCTTGCTCTTCTCTTCCTTTGTGTTCTTATCATCCTTTGGGCTCTTCTCCTCCTTCTTGCTCTTCTCTTCCTTCTTGCTCTTCTCGTCTTTCTTGCTCTTCTCGTCTTTCTTGCTCTTCTCTTCCTTTGTGTTCTTATCGTCCTTTGTGCTCTAGTTGCTGCGCGTGGGTCAATCAAACCTACTAAACATCAAGCCTGCCGAGTCTGTCGAAGCTCTCCAAAATCTCCAAACAATTTCCCTCAAAACTCTCTCAAAGTAAAGCTCTCCAAACTCTCTCGAAGCAACGCTCACAAAACTCGTCTTTCTTGCTCTTCTCGTCCTTCTTGTTCTTGTCGTCCTTTGTGTTCTTATCCTCCTTTGCGCTCTTCTCCTCCTTCTTGCTCTTCTCAGCCTTTGTGCTCTTCTCTTCCTTCGTCTCCTTCTTTGGCTCGACCCTGGCCTTGGCCTGAGCAGGCTCAGAGCCGTCTCCATCGTTCTCTGGTGCAGCAGGCCTCTTTTTGCTTTTCCTTTTGGGTGTCTGACTTGCTGGTTCCTCCTTCACTTCCTTCAATTTCGCTTCTTCTGCGCGCGCGTCCTCTTCTTCCTGGTCTTTCTGGCCTTTCTTGGCTTTGGATTTCCCTTTGGCTTTGGCTTTTGGTTTTGCTTTCTGGGCGGCTGCCTTTCCCTTTGCCTTGGCTTTGGGCTTTGGGGCAGCCTTTTCTTTTGCCTTTGCCTTTGTTTTTGCTTGGGCTTTGCCTTTGGGTTTCTGTTTTGGTGCTTCGCCCTGCTCTTCTGGATTCTCTGTCTGTCGCTCTTCTGTCGCTTGTTCCTGAAGATTCTCGTCCTCTTGCTCAACTTCCTCTGCCTCTAGCTGTGTCTCTTGATCTTTGTCCTCTGTCTCTGGCGTGGGCTTTTCAGGGGCACTAGCATCGTCGAGCGCCGACATCAAGTGCCAACAATCTATTGCCCAGACAGGGCCAACAACTTTGGTTTGAACCAGAATGCTAGCAATGCTTTTCAGGTAGTATTTCGACACGATTCGCGAGTTCCACTCATATATCAAATATGGAAAAACTCTCAAAACTCTCAAGACTCTCAAAGAACTTTCAAGACTGTCAAGACTCTGGAGAAATATCAGAAACTGTCGAGACAACACTTTCAAACCCATCACGACTCTTGTCTTTCTTCGATCCTGCTCTTGTCTTTCGTTTTGTCAAATTCTTTGGTCTGCTTTGGTCTGAGGGTTAAAATTCATTCCTTATGAAACAAAACACTGCCCGTGTTTAAAAGAGTTTAGGCTTTAAGGTGGGTTTGTCTGTTTTTGTATCTCAAATTCTTTGTGTACTTATATATTTAACTAAATGCTCCCCTTTTTATTTTAGGGTTTAGGGCGGGTTCCTTGAGTTTAGGGTTTAGGGTGGGTTCCTCTTCAACTCTTTATGTAACTAA